CCTCCCAGCTCTTCCTTTTTCCTCCTGCACGGCTTTTGGCATCCCACCATTTTCCACAGCAATGCAGCAAACTGTGAGTTTCCACAGCCTCTCACAGACATGACTTCACCCACAAACCTCTGTGAGGCTCAAGTGTACCCCTTCTTCTTCACAAAGATCGTCTTCACCCCAGAGAATTGAGTCAACCAAACAGGAAATCTCAGGATAAAACAGTGCTGGCAAACATCATTTTGTTTAAAGTATCGTATCAATATATATTTGTTGAGAAAATATTTGGAGTTCTTTGCAAACTGTAACACTTGTTTAGGAAAAAAGATAGAGAGAAGAAATTAGGATCAGTTATTTACTTGAGGCACATGAGTGTTCTTCATGTATGACTCAAGGACATCCCACTTCTTTCCTCCCCGGTCTTCCATCTTCCATCTGCTTTCCTCCCTCTTCCCATCTCCCTTTCCTCATGCTCCTCCCCCTCTCCCTCACCTATAGGACTGAGAATTCCTGCGGTCTCCTGAGATCAGTTTCTTTCCCCCCGATTGTATACAAGCTGTGGAAAGTTTTAGTTCTTGTCGACTCCACGACCCACATTGGTCAGGCAGAAGCCCCCGTGTACAAGGTACCCCTTGAGCCTTGGCAAGGTGCATGACACACACTTGGTCACTGGAGAAATGATGAGCAGAGAGTGACAAATAGAAGAGGGGAGCTTTGAGCCTGAGCTCTCTGGAGCATAAGAGTGGTTGAGGCTTGGCACTTGCCACCTAGATTTCACACAACGTGTCAGGAATCCTGGATGCCCAGAAAGAAACCTGTTCCAGGGCTGGAGCCCCAACATAGAGCTTTCATTTAGGCAGTGTTGAGCAATAATGTGTGGCTGGAGCTCTGCAGAGGGACCCCATAGGTGCATTGTGTAACGAAGCTGTGGGAGAAAGGCCTCACCCCTAAGAATTCCAGAATTATAAATCTATCAGCTGCTTACAACTTCAGCGTTTAAAGCCAGGGGCATTAAACTCCAAACTGTGAGAGCAGCCATGTGGGCTGCACCCTGCAAAGCCACAGGTAAAGTGCTGCCCAAAGCCCCAGAAGCCTACCCCTGGCACCAGTGTGCCCAGAATGAAGAATATAGGGTCACGGAAGATGATTTTGCAAGTTTAAGATTTAATTTCTGCCCTGTTGGGTTTACAACTTGCATGAAGTCTCTTCTTCTTCTCTTTCAACTGATATTTCCCTTTTGAAATGAGATTGTTCAACCGCTGCCTATAAAACCATTGTAATTTGGAAGTAAATAACTTGTTTTTGATTTTACAGGCTCATAGCTGGTAGAAATTTGTCTTGGATCTCAGATACATCTTTGCATTTTAGACGTTTAAGTTGCTTCTAAACCTGATAAGGCTTTGGAGATTCTTGAGATAAACTGATTGGATTTTGTATGTAAGAAAGAAGTTTATGTCTTCAGCTTTTTGTTCTTTATATACTCAACTAACAATATTTTGGGGTTGCTATGATTTTTTGCTGAAATTTGTATTCCCTTTTTAATTTATGTTGTGCTTAATCTGTAATTATTTTCTTTGTGGTTACCATTGAAATGACATACTGCATCCTATAGTTATACCATCCACATTGAAATCAATGTGAACTTCAATTCCTTACAAAAACTCTACTTTTCCACAGCTACGTTTCCACTTCACATTATTGATGTCACTAATTACAACTTTATATGTGGTGTACATGTTAACAGAAATGTATTCTTATTTGTACACATTTGTAATGTAAATCTTGAAGAAAATGACAGTAAAAAGCAAACTTTCACAAATATGTGTTTCCACATTTTTCTTACACCTACCTTTACGAGAGGTCTTTATACCTCTATATGACTTCATGTTGCTGTCTGAAATTCTTTCATTTCAAAGCGAATTACTCTCTTTAGCATTTCTTGTAGAGCAGTTCTAATGGCAATGAACTCCTTCAGCTTTTACATCACATAGTCTTAATAACTTTCTAATTTTTAAGAAATAATTTGGCTGGGTGCGGTGGCTAATGCCTGTAATCCCAGCACACTGGGAGGCCAATGTGGGGAATCATGAGGTCAAGAGATTGAACCATCCTGGCCACTGTGGTGAAACCCCGTCTCTACTAAAAATACCAAAATTAGCTGGGTGTGGTTGTGCCTGCCTATAGTCCCAGCTACTCAGGAGGCTCAGGCAGGATAATTGCTTGAACCCGGGAGGCGGAGATTGCAATGAGCTGAGATCGCACCACTGCACTCCAACCTGGTGACAGAGCAAAACTCCATCTCAAAAAAAATTTTTAAAAACAGTTGGAATAATTTTTTTTTGCCAAGTATGGAATTATTGGGTAAAATTATTTCTTTATTGATCACATTAAATATATCACCTACTATATCCTCCAAAGACTCTCATAAGAAATCTGTGGATCATCTTGTCCAGGATCCCTTGCACCCTTGCATCATCTTTCTCTCCTGCTTTTTATTTTTGCTGTTGTTTTTGTTTTAGATAGAGTTTTGCTTTTGTTGCGCAAACTGGAGTGCGATGGTGCAATCTCGACTCACTGCAACCTCCGCCTCCCGGATTTAAGCTATTTTCCTGGCTTAGCCTCCCGAGTAGCTGGAATTACAGATGTGTGCCCCCATGCCCAGCTAATTTTTTGTATTTTTAGTAGAAATAGGGTTTCACCATGTTATCCAGGCTGGTCTCAAACTCCTGACCTCAGGTGATCCACCCACCTCAGCTTCCCAAAATCTCTTGCTATGTAAAGATTATCTCTTTGTCTGGCTTTTAGAGTTGGATGATAACACATACAGGTCTGAGTCTCTTTGAGTTTATGCTATATGCAGTTCTTTAAGTTGCCTGAATTTGTAGATTCTTGTCTTTAACCAATTTGAAAAAGTTTTGATGATTGTATTCTCCCTCCAATTCGTTTCCTTTTCTTTTTTATAGTTTCTGTGTTATGACTATATTTAGATTTTCTTTTTTTTCCCAGATTTTCTGTAGTTCTTAATCCATAGTTTTCATTAGCAATTTTAGCATATTTAAGACAGTTGTTTAAATGCTTCTCTACTAATTTTAATACCTGTGATTCTTCAGGAATGATTTCTACTGATTTATTTTCTTTCTCATAATGGACTGTGATTTCTTGTTTCTTTGTATGCCTTGTTATCTTGTTTTATTTTTTTGAGCTGGAGTCTTGCTCTGTCACCAGGCTGGAGTACAGTGGTGCCATCTCGGCTCACTGCAGCCTCTGCCTCCTGGTTTCAAGTGATTCCCCTGCTTTAGCAGGGGAATCCTGAGTAGCTGGGACTACAGGTGCTCACCACCACGTCCAGCTGTTTTTATTTTCTTTTGGATTTTAGTAGAGATGGCGTTCCACCATGTTAGCCAGGATGGTCTCCTTCTCCTGACCTCGTGATCTGCCCTCCTTGTCCTCCCAAAGTGCTGGGATTACAGGCATGAGCCATCGTGCCCGGCCTGTATGCCTTGTTATTTTATTTAACTGGGCATTTGAAAAAAATAAAACATCTTTTTTACTGTATATAGATTTGTTCTGTCATGACAGTCATCAACTCATATGTGTGTCAGGTTCTCAGTCAAGGCATCAGCCCTATATAAAACCTCAAGGCCTTCTTAATTTGTTTCTGAACATGCACCTACATGGATTGTTTTTGCCATTTTATTTTTTCCCCAAATAACCAATGGCTTTTGAATCACTTACTATTAAAAAATTTCACATCCCAGTTTCTCTCAATGACTGAGATGGACTATTGCATGTCTCTTCCCCTAGTCTTTTGCCTGTAACATCTGTATGTGTATAGTCACCCTGAATCTCTACTGAGCTACTGAGCTACTCCATAAATAAATAACTTTATTTCAGTCAATTTTAGATACTTTCTGATGTTTCTATGAGTCATATGGGAGTCTTATAATCCACCATCTTGTTGAAAAATTTCAATATCTTTATAATATTACATTTATGTCAATGTATAACAATTTACTTATGTTTCAATTTCTGTTTGTTTTATAAAGAAATAAATAGAAGCAATCATGGCACTGCAAGTTGTGACTACTCCAAGATGTGAATCATGGATCATGCAAACTACATTCATGTTCTAACCTGCCCTCCAAAGGGAGAATGAAGTAAAAATTATCCCATGTGAGGATTATTCACCAGTTTATATGTCATTAGTTACCAGTTTTTCCTTATGAATAATGTTTAACAATATTAGAAAGTATATCTAATAGTTATCAGGTGTTTGGCTTGTTACTTTTTGATAGTAACTCATAAAACTGGCTGGATAAGATAAATAAAATAAGGCACAGTTTGCATATTACAAAGTATATCCAAAGTCCAAACGCTGTTAATAAGAAATCCTCCAATAAAACCACATCAAATTTTATTTTTTATTTACACCCACATCAGGATTACAACTTTATCAGGACTGCACTTTGATCAGGAAGGGATATTTCTCTCATAAGGTTAATAAGAAAGAAACAATAAGCTTGCTGATGAAAAAAATAACACATTTTAACTTTAATTTTTAATTGAGGGCAATATTTTAAAGAAATGCTCATTAGTCATTCCTTTAAATTGTGTGTGTGTGAGAGAGAAAAATGAAAACTAGTCATTTCAAATGCTGTCAGATACAGAAGAAACATCATCATGGCACAAACCAAAAAGAGCTTAGTAGCTCCTTTTCTGTAGTCTTATGTAAAGTCACCATTTGTTCTACAAATCTCTTTGAATAATTTATATCATATATATAGAGATTTGGAACAGCAAAAATACTTCTGAGAGAAATTAATGAGTGTATCATGCCCACCTGATAATTTACTTATGAATTTTCTTAGATAAGAAACAGTTGAACTGGATTCCATTTTTATCACTGCCTGTGTAAGACTGCCTCTGTCCCTCCTCTCACATGCCATTGGTTAACCCACAGACAGTATGTCCAGGGGCGTTGCCAGCTAATTGCTCTTATAACCTGTGAGGGAGGAAGAAAGAAACATTTGCCAACCAGGCCAGTGACAGAAATGGATTCGAAACATCAGTGTGTGAAGCTGAATGATGGCCACTTCATGCCCGTCCTGGGATTTGGCACCTATGCGCCTGTAGAGGTAATAATAATATTTTTAGTGTTGAGAGTTCAAAGGAGCTAGAGTAAGTGGAAGCTAGAATAAGTGGAAGCTGACCAGGTTGTCAGGCTTGTGTTCCCAAGTTACCTGCATGACTCCCCTTTAAACGTCAGTCTTTGTTCTGCAGTGCAGTCTGGTCACAGGGTCATCTACTGCTTATTTGGGGCACTGTTTTGTCTTCTGTTTATGTTTATTTCACAGCCGGTCAGAGTCGATAAAACTCCGCAGAACGAACATGGCCTGTCTGCTCCCTCTCTTGAAGATTGATTGCAATGGGAGTGGTTTCTCTGTTTCTTTGTATAGTTGAACAGATATTTACTTCTTCCAAGAAGACACAATTCAGAGGAATCTTTATGGCAAAAGTTAGTGGAGATGGGTTGCATGAAATCTGTTGGGAGAGTATCACTGTTCTGTTGGGCAGCCTCGTGCACCAAACTGTAATACTAGAGCTGGACTAAAAAGAATTTCCCATGTACTACTCTCAGCTCTGGGAAAATTACCTGAAACGATAAAATATCCTCATTTTAAGAAAAAAAAAAAAAAGTAAAACCTAACAAACAAGGACAGTTTAAATTCTTTGTCTTTGTTAATATGGGTCAAATTTGTATACAAATACTGTAACAGAGAAATTTCTTGTTTCTCTGACGAGAAAATTAATGGAATAGATTTTATTTTCTAGACTTAGCTATTTCTACACTGGAGGAAAACTTGTATCTCAAGACTGTCGTGGGAATACAATGTGTGTGAATAGGGACTAGTTATATAAAATTTGTGTCTCTCATTTCTCATCTATACGATATAAGGATTTACAAAGGGACATTTTGAAGACTATTGACAGGAGTGGTTTACTTTAATATAAATTGGCATGGAGAGGAGGTAGAGATGAGAACACCACTGAAGCTCCGGCCTCGGTGAGCCTTTGAGTGCTCGCACAGCAAAGAAAGGATCAAGGATGATATGAGGAGTGGGATGTGAGACCCTGTACCTAGTTCCTTGTAATTTCATGGGAAAAAGAAAGCCTCTGAAATACTTTCAAGATGGGAAAATAGTTGGCTTTGTTTCTGCTTTTGTCATGTAAAAGATATACTTTCAAATCTGTATCCACATTTGTTAAATAAGTCAATAATTATAAATTTCACTGCAATCATATGTTTCCTAAAAGAGTTGCCTTGAATTTATGGAGCTGAACCCCATTTTGCTAATCACTTACTCCCTGCAGTCTATTTCTTATACAAATCAATATCCTTGGTGTATACATCTTTACTCCTAGTATTTGGTTCTCTCATGCAGACAGAATGGCCAAAGACTGGGTAGAAAAGACTTAACATAATAGACTGCTATCCACAGACAGGCCTGTTTCCAGTATAAACCTGCTGGTATCAGATAAGGTGGATTCCTCACTATTTCCTAGCTGATAAGAATGGTGGTTCTACGTAACAGTTTATGTAAACTGCGGAGTTTCTATGCACCTGCTTTCTTTTGGGCGTTGTGTCTGCTAGGCAGAGTGAGTCAACGTAAGCAGTCCCAGACAAAATCTTAGTAATGGAGTATGTAGAGAGCATCTCTTGTTGACAACAGTTCACATACATTGAAAAAATATGATGCTGGATAAAGTCAGTGTGTTCTGTGCAGCAACAGGGTGGGAGAGGAATCGCAGGAGCTTACACTGCATTCCTTCATAATTCCTTCCATGTGGCTATTTCCTCATGTTAATTTCATCATACTAAAAATAATTAAGATTATATCTATAACTAGAGGTTGCGGCCTGTTAATTTTGCCAAAAAATCACTGAACCTGAAGTTGTTTTAGGGACACTTCTAAGCTACTGGTCAAGCAGTGATTTTCTGGGACTGCAGAAGTTCCTGCTATGCCCAACTTTTATTACTAACCAGGAAAGACCCAGACAGACTGGGATGGGCTTATGATTCCATAGACAGAACTCATCCAAGAAAGGAGGAAAAGGTGATTTTTGTAAACGTTGCTGCTTGTGCCTGAACTAACTCTAAGGCACATCAGTCAGAAAATACTACCTTTGGTTGCTCCCCTAGGTTCCTAAAGATAAAGCTCTAGAGGCCACCAAACTGGCGATAGAAGTTGGGTTCCGTCATGTTGATTGTGCATATGCTTACAATAATGAGGAGTACGTTGGACTGGCCATCCGAAGCAAGATTGCAGATGGCACTGTGAAGAGAGAAGACATATTCTACACTTCAAAGGTACTGTGCCTATGATGAGCTTGTGTGTACATGCATTTATGGTGATTGTGTGGAGGTGGCAATTCTATGACTAGATCCATAGTTGAGGGTGAATTGTGCTTATTCATTTCAATTTATTCACAATTATTCATGTATGAAAAATAAAATCAAAGGCAGAAAATGAAGATGACTTTCTCATCTTCGCAGTGTTCCAACTCATGACTTCAAAGTCCCTTTACTCTTTGAGGTCAGCACAGATCACTATGGTTTAACATAGACTATAGAATCAGAGATAACCTTAATCAAATTATGTTATGTCTTACCTCCTGGGTGAATTTCTTACATTTGTTAGGATTCTGAGTTTCCATTATCATCTTGATCAAAGAAAGAGAGAGAAAGCAAAGTAAGAGAGCTCTGTGCGTATAAAACAATGATACCTACATTGTTTTAAATTGCATCCAGCCCAAGTTAGCATATTAAAAACCGTATTTGCCTCCTCAGGTTCTAAACCACAAAGGTACTTATTCTTGCCCATTGGGCTGAATTGGTGAATTACACTACTAACATGAGTTGTAAAACATACCAAAGATAATTCAGATAATGGGTATGCTTATGATTTGATAACAACTTTTACCTTTGGAGTAATTTCACTCTTTCATTCAGTATATGTACTAACTATATATCCAACATATTACAAAGTTCATCAGGATATGGCAGAACAAAAGGCATCACAAGAAGAGAGAGAATAATTTTGCCTGTGGTCATTAGTTTTGAAGTAGTAGAAAATGTCTAAATATTAGGTCGAGCAAACTAGTAAAATTGGCTCAAGTTTTCATTGCACAACTTCCTTTCTCTCACCTCTGCAGCTTTGGTGCAATTCCCATCGACCAGAGTTGGTCCGACCAGCCTTGGAAAGGTCACTGAAAAATCTTCAATTGGACTATGTTGACCTCTATCTTATTCATTCTCCAGTGTCTCTAAAGGTAGGCAGCTTTGCGATCAAATTGATTTCACCCTTGTTGTCATCATAAATGTTGTTTTCATGGATATTTGAACTAAGCATTTTCTTAGGAGGACATAGGTATTATAATGTGGAAGAAGAGCCCTAAACATAACTCCTAATCCCTTTTCTGTTGAATACATTTTGAATCTGTACTTCCGTGATGCATGTCTACAAGAAAAGAGAGTGCAGAATCCTCAAACCGTCTGCTTTAAAAACTTAAGGAAATGACAATCATCTCCTTGAAGGTACAAGTTCTTAGTTATGACTCCTGAGTTCACCTCTTGGAACGTTCACAGACACAGAGTTTCATGAAGTTGTGGTGTCCAGAAAAGCTGTTGCACATAGGGTGCACAATGAGTTTCCATCCTCTTGACTCCTTTCAAGGGGCAAGAACTCAGTCCTGGAGTCTCTTAAACTACAAATCTTCATGGGAAACTGTTGCTTCTGCATCCTCTCTTTTCACATTGAGTTTTTATTCTTGCTTAGCGATGAATTCTTGTGTCATTCGTAACTTTTGTTTTAAGGTTACGGAAATCTCCTTAGGCTAGTTAATGCAAGGGTGAGTTAGATATGAAAGTCAAAGCCATGGCTACATTAAGAATTTGACAAAATCTCTAAAAATAAATCCTTTCTCCATCCTTATCTCTGCTTTATTACAAAAGGCTTTTTAAGTATTTGTTCCAGACTTTTTCATTGGTGGTATTTATGGCTTTGGAGCAATTTCAGGCTCATGGTCATTACCATGAGCTCCTATGCATCTCTCAACTTCCAAACTAGCCTTGAAAACACCTCTATTGACCATGATTGGTTCATGGTCCTGTCCATGAAACATCATATGTTCAGGGAGATAAAGAACTCTGATAGTGGCATCTGGGTCAAAAGTACTATCCATTATTCCTGAATATTAAGGTCTTTTGCAGCTGAAGAGAGGTATTGCCACAGAGAAAATTATAGGAGCAGAAGAAAGTAATGTAAGTCATGATGGCACTCCATTAGCAACGAGAAAGATGGTATTTATTTATACATATAATAGTTATAAGAGATTAGAAGAAGCCTGTCTCCTGAAGACATTCCTTATACCTTCATATGTAGCACACTTTATATGTATCACTCTCTGGAGCATTGCATCACCTACGTCACGGAGGATTAGTGTCCTTAAATGTACCTCAGAGCATGGCTATGTGTGGGGAAATTTATGTGGAGAAATTGATTTGTGACATCACTAAATTCACTGCTTCTACTTCAGCCAGGTGAGGAACTGATCCCCAAAGATGAAAATGGGAAAGTACTATTTGACACAGTGGATCTCTGTGCTACGTGGGAGGTGAGTGCTTGGAGGAGAGCACAGATAAGAAAGATGAGATAGGAGACATCTGGTTCCTATCTTCCAAGTACAAGAATGGAAAATGCACCATTGGATCAAAAATTTAGGAGTTTTACAAAGGTAGTTTTTGTAAGCAGTAAGGAAAAAGAAATGACAGGCATACAAAAGAGAGAAGTGGAGGAGAAGGGTTGGGGGTAAGGAGGACTGGGATTTCTTTCCTTGCCTGTGCACTAGACTCTCCAGTTTCCTGAGGAGGAAACAGAAATTCTTGCAATCATTATCTTCCTCCCCAATTTTCTCATTTATTTTCTCCCTTTTAGGAATCATGGCTAGCTAGTTGATTGTCATATCTACACAGTTGTTGCTTTCACAGTTCTGTGTTACATTTATCTTGATCTTCAGTCGACTACATAAATGATACCTCACAATTCCTTTTTCCCAGGCCATGGAGAAATGTAAAGATGCAGGATTGGCCAAGTCCATCGGGGTGTCCAACTTCAATCGCAGGCAGCTGGAAATGATCCTTAATAAGCCAGGGCTCAAGTACAAACCTGTCTGCAACCAGGTGAGCGCCCTCAGCCTCCTCTCCTTTCTGCTCTTCATGCCCCTCTTTCTGTCCTATTGGCCAAGTATCCATTCATTTAGTCCCACTGATCTTTGTAAAAGAGAAGATTCTAGAGAGCAAAGCCTCTGTCTCGAAGGGCATAGAGGGCTCTTACTTGTACCCGGCTTAGAAAAGTCTTACGAAAAGGTGTTGTAACTTTGATGCTGAATTGTGAGTTATATTTAGGGAAAGTCAGTTTGATCAAGGAGGCCAAGGATTGCCAATTAGTTTCAGGGAAAGGTGGACTTACCCCTAAGCTATGAAAGATGACCGAGAGTGGATGGGTGAAGGTGATTTGGATGGAAGTGTGCATAGATATGAAGCCATGAAAAGATGGAATGAGCAGTACATAAGGAGAGAGAGAGAGAGTAAGAGAAGAGAAATACTAGGGATTTCCATGGAGTTCAGATGTCTCAGTGCCTCTTGGTATCTCTGCTTTCATACTTCTTGACTAAGGGCATAGATACACTAAAAATTATCTGCAGACAAGGAAGGTCATCCATGGTAGAAAGAGAAAATGACCTGTTTACAGAGATATCTGTTCACAGTGGATGAAATCAACACTGAGAAATATTTAGCAGAACATCGAGCTGACCAATGACTGCCCCGCTCCTAGTCGGCTGCTGTTCTTTGGAGTCTGTCATGCAATCAGCTGCTTAAACATATCTATTCTATGCATGGTTCTTTCATAGCCTAGAGATAATTCCATCTTATCCCGGAGCTCTGATTGTTGATTCCAGGCCTCTTTGATCAAATTGACTGCCCCCAAATGTTATACACATTTCAGCATTAAAGTCACTACACTTTTCCCAGTAACTTACACTTTTTTGTTTTATTTCATTTTTAAAAACTTAGAGTCAATGAGTAAAGATCAACAGTGGAAATACATAAATGCATAAAATTTATGAATTTCGTATAGTGATATTGTGCCATGATAATTTAATAAAAGCATTGAGAAATTAATGTTATTTTAATATTAGTAGTTCCCCAATTTTTATTATGGTAATTTTCAAACTTTCCAAAAATTTGGTAAAGATAATACTGGAGACCCATGTTACCATTTGTATTCAAAATTACTAACATTTTGCAACGTTATATGGAGTATATCTGCATAAATATATATAATGTTTCTAGAACTTCTTCAAGGTAAATTGTAAAGATGCCAATTGACCCCTGGAGACCTCTCCAAACATGTCACAGGAATGAAGATATTCTCCCAGTTACAGTGCCATTACTGTATCTAAGAACATCATCTACAGCGCTCTCATGTCATTTGGTATCCAGTCCATATTTGAATTTTCCATTGTTTAATCAAAATATCTTTTGTGGCTCTTCTTTTTTTAACCAGAATTCAATTGTTTTTATATTGTTGTATTTTGATATCAGTTAACTTGTTTTTCCCAGTTGTTGAAAGTTTCTGTAAAGTAAACATTAGATGTGAGTATTTTATTACATTGGCTTAAATCTTTGGGGCAAGAAAATGTTTTTATCATGCCATGTTTTTCAAACTGCACCACACTAGACTGCATACAATCACAGAATACCCCACTAGTGGTGAAGCTAGTTTTAAAAACTTGGTTAAGCTAACAATGGTCACATCTATTGTTTTAATATATGTTTTCTCTTGAACAGTTGCTAGTAATCTGCTGGGAGCTAATTCTCAACAGAAGTAGTCATATTCCCATGACACATTTTCACCTATGATTGAGTATACATCAGTGATTTGAACTTTTTTGTATTGTATTTCTGTTTTCCTCTTTGTTATTTCTTATTTGTTATTTCCTTGGTGTTTTTACATAATCATTTACAATTTCAACCACTTGTTTAACTGTTCTTACCTGACATTTAACTAAAAGTAATTTCTCAGCAAGTAAAAATAATATACTATTATTCCTCTAAGTCAGGGTAAAAATTAACTTCTTCCTTCAATTAGCAATGTATTGTGAATGTAATTGCTGTAATGACCACCATCAGAGTAGACAAATGTTCATTTTTTCATTCTCACACTAATTACTACAGACTCATGGATTTTTCTGCTGTGATTTTTAATTCATTTTACTTATTTTTAATGCTCACATCTATTCAGTATATCTATCTATCTATCTATCTATCTATCTATCTATCTATCTATCTATCTAAAAGAAGAATTGGATCAAAGACTCATGAGGGCAAGTATAAAAGACAAAGCACTTGTTTCATAGGAAACCCACTGGTGACATTTGGGATGTCACCATACAAATCCATCGTACAAAAAGGAAAAGTAATGAAAGACTATGAAAGTTATCACTATTTATGTGTATATGTATATTTTCTAGTTCATCTATTATATATATATATATATCATAGATGGCATATATGATATGCATGTTATATGTCAGATGAATTAGAAAACATACATATATATGTATGCATTTTTGATATCAATTAAGAAATCAGTTCTTTTTTCTTTTAGACATGCTTTCATGAGTCTTTGACCAAATTCTTGATTTCTGGCACAATTTGATGCCTAAGGCTCAAAGAATCTTACCTTATCCCAGCTCTGAAATTGGCCGTGTCTCCTTCTAGTGGTCGGAGTTATTGAGAAACTAGGATAGGGTTCGTAGAGGTTGGTTTTGCTCAGAAATAGCATTTCGATTTTCTTAGGAGAGAGGGATATAAAATTAAGTTGTATGTAAAACATCATTTTTTGGCAAATACTCTCAGTTCAAATTTAATGCTCTATATTATTCGGCTTCTTTTACTTTGGTGATTTTAATATTAATATAACTTTTGGATTATCTGATGCTTTTCCATCTTGCTCATCTGCAGGTGGAATGTCATCCTTACTTCAACCAGAGAAAACTGCTGGATTTCTGCAAGTCAAAAGACATTGTTCTGGTGGCCTTTAGTGCTCTGGGGTCCCATCGAGAAAAACAATGGTAATAAGAGATACAGGAAGTTTACCTAAAACACTGGTTTGCTAAAAAAAAAACAATGAATCAGATCGTGCTGTTTCCTGGAGTTCACTGACAGCTGACTTGGGATGAGGGAAGAATTTGCATTTCTGACAAGATCCCAGGTGATGTTGTGGTTGCTGTTCAGGGGCCTCACTTGAGAAGCTCTGGTGCAGAGTGGATGCCTTAGTCTGTTTAGGGAGCCTCCTAACAAACTGTATCCCCAGCCTTAGGGCTTCAGCATTTCCGCCTTTCCTTCCAGGGTGGACCAGAACTCCCCGGTTCTCTTGGAGGACCCAGTCCTTTGTGCCTTGGCAAAAAAGCACAAGCAAACCCCAGCCCTGATTGCCCTGCGCTACCAGCTGCAGCGTGGGGTTGTGGTCCTGGCCAAGAGCTACACTGAGCAGCGGATCAGAGAGAACATGAAGGTGAGGAGCCGGGCTGTGGGCCTCAGGGCTGCTGCACAGTGTCGTTCACACGTGTGCTTCTTGTAAGGCTCTCAGGACACCCTTGGGCCAGCTCCATTTCCCTGTATTTCCTATGCATGAACTCTTTGTGTACATCACAAGGATTTCTTCTACTCTGACACAGGAGAGGCAACACAGATGGAGAGAAATAGGATGGCATCAAAACCAGAGATTTGAATTAGCGTTGAGTCAGAGCTATCCACATCCATCTGCTAGGGATATGTCTTTTTTTAAATTTTCTGTAATGAAGTGTTTGATTAGATGTTTTTTAGTCTCCAAATCATCGTGAATTTTTTTGTATATTTATGTAGTATAAATTCCTTATATTTATTCTCTTAGAATTTTGTCTTTGTGAATTGTGTGTTTAACTCTGCCTTTTTTTTTTATGAGGTGGTTGTTCATCTTTATTTTTATGTGTAGGAGACCATATTTATTCCAACACCTCAGGTTATAAGACAAACCCAGTTAACACAAAGGCTTAATGCAAAAGCATTTATTGAGCTCAAGATTCCATGGTTAGAAAATTAGCCTTGGCTCAGCCTAAACTCAGTCCAGTCCTTCTGTTCCTGGCCGGGCGCTCATGTGCATGCAGGGCAGTGAGACAGCTCTGCTTCAGGATGTCCATGGGGCACCTGTCTGAGCGCCCCCTTCTCCCATGCAGTTCTTTATCCTCCAGCCATCCAGCCCAGGGTTCATCTCAGGATGGGGCACGACCCCAAGGCAGTGAGTGGACACGTGCAAAGCCTTTTCATGTCTAGGCTCAGAGCTGCCAACCATCGCTTCTGGGAAATTCTATCACCTAATGCAAGTTATAGGATAGGTCAGACTCAAGGGGTGGGGAAATACACACCACCTCTTATTGTTACCTCTTATTGGAAGGAACTGGAAATTCATAGAACCAAGCAAGTGGGTACAGGGACATGTGACTATAGAGGGCAGTTCCTAATTAATCTATCATTTAGATGAGATGTGTAAAATAATATCAATAGGTATATGTATGAATATATATAAATTGATATATTATTTCATATATTCTCAAGAATTCATCCAAGTCTCTAAAGAATTAACATCCAGAATACATACATATATATATATATTTTCTCATTAATCATATAGGTATATAAAATATGCATCATGTATGATATATATTATAAAACTTACGTCATACATATGACATATATCATGTATATGTGTATATGTCACTATTTGCTAAAACATTAAGTTAAATAAGTGAAAAAATCTATAGGATACTCTGAAATAGTGACACAGAGAATAAGAGAGAGTAAAAAATGACAACAATGAAACAATTGATGTATCTAGGTAATGGCATTTATTAAATGATTTAAAAATTATTTTTATACATTAGAAAATTCACAAAACAAAAATGAAAGTTATGAAAGACTGTGGAAGTTATCAGTATTTATATATATGTGTATGTTCTCTAATTCATCTAGTATATATAGATTTATATAATACATGACATGTGTTATTTAATATATATTTTAGATTAATTAGAAACCATACACATATATGTATTTATTCTGGATATTAATTCTTTAGAGACTTGAATGTATTCTTGAAATAACATCTCCCAAATTTTACCTGTGTTGTCATATTCTCTGTGGTTATGTTTTGACAGATAGAAGTTTCTATCCTTCATTTAGACTCATTTTTCATGCCTCTTTCTTGTGGTTGGTGAATTTTGTGTCTTATCCTATATTGGGACTATCACAATATTTTACTGTGTTATCTTACAAAATTGTTAACATTCTTTCCTTATACATTTAGTTAATTCTAATGGGATTGACTTTTTAAATACTATATGAAATAAGGATCCAAACATGCATATCTAATTTTTGAATTTTTAGCAAAATTTCCCACCGACATTTATTGAAAAGTTCATATTTGCTCACATGACTTGATTTTTTTTTACCTGTAACATATATGAAATTTCCATGAACAATTATCTGGCCTGTCTTCCATCTTCAGTTCAGTTATTTACTTTTCTGTACTATAATGTTAAAAAGTAAGTTTCACTTCCAGTGTGTTACAAATAATTTTCTAACTTCTTCATTTATTTAATAATATCTTAGCTATTCTTGACTAATGTGTTATTTAAAATTTTGAATCATCTCATTAACTTCCACAAGCAAGTAAATGTTTTGATCTCTTGTTGACATTGTAATAAGCCTGCAGATCAATGTGGAGAGAACCGAATCTTTGACAATATTGAGATTTCCAATCCATGATCATATGAATTTCCCACTACTTATTAATAAATTATCTTTTAACAAATATATCATTAATTTCATAACTTTCTCCATTGCTGTTAATATTTTCTTTTTTTTTGGAGATGGGGTCTCGCTGCGTCACCCAGGGTTGAGTGCAGTGGCACAATCTCGGCTAACTGCAACCTCTGCCTCCTGGGTTCAAGCAGTTCTCCTGCCTCAGCCTCCCGAGTAGCTGGGACTACAGGCGCACACTGCAATACCCAGCTAATTTTTTGTATTTTAGTAGAGATGGGGTTTCACTGTGGTGCCCAAGCTGTTCTCGAACTCCTGAACTCAGGCAAACCTCCTGCATCGGCCTCCCAAAGTGCTAGGATTACAGACGAGAGCCACTGCGCCTAGTAATTACTGATACTTTCAATAGTTTTTGATCGCTTTTCATTTTTGTTTTGTGGACTTTCTAATGTATAGAAATACTACAAGAATAATGCAACAAATGCGCTTACCTAGATTCATCAAGTGCTACATGGTTGTCATTTATTTTTATTATACTTTAAGTTCTAGGGGACATGTGCACAACGTGCAGGTTTGTTACATATGTATACATGTGCCATGTTAGTGTGCTGCACTCATTAACTCATCATTTACATTAGGTATATCTCCTAATGCTCTCTCTCTCCCCTCCCCCCAACCCACAATAGGCTCTGGTGTGTGATGTTCCCCTTCCTGTGTCCAAGTGATCTCATTGTTCAATTCCCACCTATGAGTGAGAACATGTGGTGTTTGGTTTTCTGTTCTTGCAATAGTTTGCTGAGAATGATGGTTTCCAGCTGCATCCATGTCCCTACAAAGGACACGAACTCATCCATTTTTATGGCTGCATAGTATTCCATGGTGTATATGTGCCACATTTTCTTAATCTAGTCTGTCACTGATGGACATTTGGGTTGATTCCAAGTCTTTGCTATTGTGAATAGTGCCACAATAAACACACGTGTGCATGTGTCTTATATTGGCATGATTTATAATCCTTTGAGTATATACCCAGTAATGGGATGGCTGAGTCAAATGGTATTTCTAGTTCTAGATTCTTGAGGAATCATTTTTTACTCTCTCTTTCTCTTACTTTCTGTATCACTCTTTCAGTTTCCCTATGAATTTGTACACTTACTTGATTGTATGAGTTAGAAAGAGTGACATCTTTTTGATATTTAGAGTCTCCCAAATTTACACAGTTGAGTACCCATGCCTTTTGAATGTGAAATCGTTAGTATTTAGACAATTATTGGCTTGAGTCATGTTGAAAACTATTTTTTCCTATTATACCTGCTCATTGGAGAGATAGATATTCAATGTTATTCATCAAACCTACTAAATTACACTAGACATTACAAAATTTGCCTCTAGATTCTTGTGGGTCTTCTAGGTACATGACCCTATCATATGTGCACAATGTCAGCTCTGTTTCTTCTTCAGCATCTTTTGAGATAGTCTCTTTGTCTGCAGTGTTGTGCATTTTCAAAATATTTTATCTGGGAATGGATTATTGTTTATTTTTCGTCTGGTTTTCATTGACCACTTGAATGTTTAGAGAGGTCTTTCACAAATTTTGGAAACGTATCGATCTTTTAAGTATTGTCTCTGCACCCTACTGTCTGACATACTTGGTGGTTCCCAGTTGGCAATGATGTAATCTAAAAATAATTAAAGTTTTCTATTACTTTGATAGGTGTTTGAATTCCAGTTGACTTCAGAGGACATGAAAGCCATAGATGGCCTAGACAGAAATATACGATATTTGACCCTTGATATGTAAGTGATTTTGGTGATGGGTGTCCTAATTTATTTTCAGAGGAGGAATGTAGGATGGGTGTTGAGAGTGACCTCCACAGCAGGGGCACAGAGGCCAATGTGAGACAGAGGTGAGACAGGAGCTTTCTGGGCCTCTTCTCCTGGATTCACTCCAGAGCCCTGTTCTCTGGCAGGGAGAGTGGCCCGGGGTCAGTGTGGTCAACCTGTCTCTCTGCTCTCATGACTCCATGGAACTCTGCAGAGCAGCCAAGATCATTGCTGAATCTGCACCTTCCATGTAGGCCTGCCATTTGTACCACTGTCTAGTGTACATACTGCGGATAGTGCCCATGTGGTCACATTAGATGTTTCCAAATTTGTGCTTATATGATGTTCTTCCCAACCTGCTAAATTTCTTACCAGATCAAAGGCAGTTCCATCAACCTTGTGGGCCAGGTTCCAATTCCCACCTACTTCACATGGAATTGCTTGCCAGATCCTGTCAATTAAGTATTTTTAATCATTTCAAAGCTTTTTTGTGCCTTTCTTTGCATGTTTTCCCATGACCCAAACACTGCATTTGCCTCCACAAGTCAGTCTTAGTGGAGCAAATAGGAGGGCTTGGCCTTGATGTTCTGCAATATGGAGATCTCAGTGCAAAGAATAAAGAAATTTTGAAATAAAATGAAGAGTACAGATGCAAAAGCACCATTGTTGGAGATAATTTATGACCAATAACAGACGTTTACTGTTCCTCTATGTTCTAAGGTTCTAGGATTCATAGAAGGTCACTCACAAAATGAGGGAAAAAAGAAGTTATGTTCCTGATGGCAGTGGAGATTTTAACAAGTAATAGAGATGATGAGATAATATGTGAATAAAACAAACACAATGGTACATCATAAGTACCCAAAATTTGGTAGATATTATTAGTAGTATTTTTTTTATTTAGAGGAAAATACCAAATGAAAAAGGAAATGATAAAAAGAAAAGGAAAAGTGGCAAGCATTAGAAATTTTTACAAGCAATTTATGTTTTCTGAGATCATAAAATCAATCACTAGTGCTATTTTGTAGAACTCAAATATCATCTGGAGTAAACCACTTGCCAGCTTCCGAGTGTTTGCTCTTGGTGTAATCACAAAGGATAGGCTCAATTCCCTAATTAACAAATTGTAACTGTACATGTGAGCAGTCATTTATCTTGCAAAATGGTTTCTGCATTATAGCTCTTTGGATATTGGAATCTATATCAAAAACAAAAATTTACATTTCTGAATCTTACCAAGTGTGTTGCATATGATAGGCACGTAATAAGTAATATGTAAAAAATAAAATAAAATATAAATGTTACCAGGATAATTGTTACACTCAAAATTGTCTGTTACTGATGAGCATATGTCTGCTTATTCCTCTTCAAGGTAAAGCAGAATGAGTTCCTGTTTTTACTGAGAATTTGAAATAGAAAATGTCAGAATATCTCTTTGCTCTATGGACAGATGTAGAGAAATAAGTTGGAACGTTTGCCTTTGTGTGTTTTATGTGTTCAGTTCCAGGCAGAGGAATAGAATTAAATGATTCTTTATTTTGAAACTACAGATATAATAAAGTCATGTTCATTAAACTAAGAAACACAGATTCTAGAGCAGTCAGAAAATGGACTTCTTAACACCTATACTAGTGGCAGCTTCCTAGAAATCACTGTGCTACCTGGTAGCAACGGAGTCATTGCCATTCAGAGTGTGCACATTTTTTTCCCTTTCCAGTTTAGCTGACTCGCCTAATTATCCATATTCCGATGAATATTAACATGGAGGGCGTTGCATGAGGTCTACCAGAAGGCCCTATGTGTGGTTGGTGACACAGAAGATTTCTCTATGCTGGTGACTGGACACGTCACCTCTGGTTAAATCTCTCCTGCTTGGCCACTTCAGCAAGCTACAGCTAAGCGCATCAGCCAGAAAAGAAAGACAATATATATATTTTTTTCATTTTGAAAAAATTAAATGCTCTCTCCTAAAGATTCTTCACCTACTTTGGTCTCCATTACTTCTATGTTTTCTTTCCTTCTGATACACTAATGCCCCAAAATTGTGATTTGCCTATACGTTTAGGGCCGGGGTTGGAAGATGATATCAACCATTTAAGATTCATTTGTGCAGTGGGAGTGGATGGAGGTTCAACCTCTGGGAAAGGGGCAGGTGACAGGTATTTAGCCGTCAGTGCTTCTCTAGGTCTTGTTGGAAGAAGCACATGCAGCATGGAGTGTAGAGGGTGAGTGATATTGACCAGCAACTCATGGGCTCCTTCCAGCAGTGTGAGGGTCAGAGTTTCTGGAGCTTGGGAGGAGGCATCCCTGTGAGAGGGGGCGTTAGGGAGATGGAAGGACACCCACCAGGAAAAGTGATTAGAAGTCAGGTATGAGGAGGTTAAATAGGAGAGAGTCGAGTACATCTATGGTTGGAAAAACATATCATCACCCTTTTTTTTTTTTTTTTCTGATCATTATATCTTGTTCATCAAAAGAAACTTTCCACGAGGTTTTAACAAACCCCATAGCTGTGAGTCAGGCGTGAATCTTTGATGTGTGCCCAGTCACAGTGTTGACCCTATTGGTCTGTGGTGGGGCAGGACATCAAAGACATCATTGACTAATCACATTCCCCTGACTACCTCATATTTATAAAATATTCTTAGATTGTAAAAATGTACAGTTCATTTTTTATATTCAATCTTTTAAATGTTTTATACTTTAAACAAGGCATGGTTTCAAGTAAAAACCAAAAATATTCCAAAACCATTATGCATTGCACTCAAGATTAAAATGGGAAATAATACATACAATAAATCAAGTGTTCCAAGAGTTCAAACTTCTTTTGGAAACTGGGTATGTAAAACAGCACACTGTTTTCAAACTTTGGTAAATTGTAAGAACAACTCTTACAAAGGCATTTCATTCTTATACATAATTTTCAGGGGAACTAAGTAAATCAGCTAATCATGAAGACATGATTTTCATTTTAGACAACACTTTTGTAAACTTGGGATGATCTCATGTCTTAATGATCAAAGCATTTAGAGAAGGACAGTGGTTTTTAACCAAGGGAACACTTTCTAATATTTACTCTCCACTATTCTTACTCTGGTAGCCATGTTAATCCTGTCAGAGATTCCTTCTCAAGCCATGTCTCAGAGCTGATAGGCATCCCAACAAGTATTGCAGCTCACAATTTTTCTGTAAATTATTTATTCTATAAAACTGGAGGAAGCCATAAACTTTGGAAGACCCTAGACCAATTTTTTGGATTATTTTTTGTCTACTATCATTCCGTTGATGATCTTAGATATTCTCTGCATTAAATATCACCTCTAGGCTGAGAAATCCCCTCAAAAATATTTCTAGCTCAGATTTTTCCTCCAAATCTTCAATGCAAGATCACAATGTGAACTCTGCATTTCCACAGTAATGTCTAATGGACATACACACTTAGCATGTCTCCAGGAAACCTCATGTAAACCACGGCCATCCTGTTCTACCTTAACTTTCTGAGTCTAAGGAATGATAATTTCACATCTCATAAACTTGATTGATGTCATTGTCAAGATAAGATTGCCATTTTGTTAAAACTTAGTAGTCAAGTGTGTAAGGCTTAAGCAAACTTTCATATTTCAAATCCGTTTTGCACGTGTAACTCTGTTTTCAAGATGTGAAATAATCATTAGGTCAGTCATTTGTAAATACTAAAGCTGCTATGGGCTTTTTCCAGTTCTTTACTATCCATTTTTATAAAACTCTTATTGTTAAAAAACAAAGTTACTCAGAATCTCATAAAGTCAGGCACCTGATTTCAGGAACACTTGCTATGAAAGAAAATTTTACAGGGACCTCCACTCACTAATTTTACTACTTTTTCTCTCAAAGAAATGCTGAAGGGAAGAATTCAGGTTGAAGGAAAGGAAATGGTAACTTACAGCCTTGTAGCGTTATAAAGACTTCTTGTAAATGTGAATATATGGTAAAATATAAAAACATGCATTTCTGAAACTTTGGATTCTACCCATTATTTTACTTCAAGATTTAAAATACAAATGTCTAGAAATAAGTATAATTCTAAGTTAATATGTATGCATTGTAGGAAATTAATTACTGACCAAAACTGTTTGAAGTGGAGAAAACCTGGGGATGTAGATGGTTTTTACAAGAAATTGAAGTTAAATTCATATTGATTTAAAGAAAATTGTTATAGCTTTATAAAGATTTTGTCATCTCCACACCAATCATGAAAAGAATAATTGTAGAATATATGCAAGAGCAAATCAGAAGGGAATCCAAACATCATTAAAAAAAGTCATGCAACCTCTCAAAATGGTAATGGTGGATATGAAGGACAGATACCTGTAAACCTGGCAGGAAAACACTGAAAATGGCACAAGTGACTCCTTGCTTGTCACCAATGACAGTCACGTGTTGCATAACACATGGGCTATCTTCTGAGTATGGCTTTGTTAGGTAACTCTGTCATAGTGGGGACATGATAGCATTAGAGATAATTCTCTGAAACACTGTCATGGCCTTATCAACTATGCTTCTGTAATATTCTAAATCCTTTGCTGTCATTCCAGCAATGTTTACCACATTTTCCTAAGAAATAGAATCCATTTCACCGAACCACTTTTCTTGCTCATCCATAAGAAGCAGTTCTCATTTGTTCAAATTGCATCATGAGATTGCAAGCATTCAGTAACATTCAAACTCCGATTTGAATTCTAGTTCCCTTGCTATTTCCACCACATCTGAAATTACTTTCTCCACTGAATCTTGCATTCCTCCAAGTCATCCATGAGGGCTGAGTTCACTTCTCCAAACTCTGGTTCAAGTTAATGTTTTGCCCTCCTGTCTTGAATCATGAATACTTTTAATGGCATCTAGAATAGTAAATCTTTTCCAGAAGGTGTTCAATTTTTTTGCCCAGATTCTTCAGACCAATCACTATGGTAGCCGTAGACTTATGAAATGTATTTCCTGAACCACAAAACAAGAACATCAAAATTAGTCTATGACCCATGGGAAACAGAATGCATATTGTGTTATCAGGCATGGAAACACAGTAATCTCTTTCAACCTTTCTGTAAGAAAGCTATTGGTTGATTAGGTACATTGCCAAAAGGCAGTCCTATTTTCAAAAAATTGTTTTTCTTTTGCTGAACAGGACTTCTTAACAGTGGGTTTAAAATATTCAGTAAACCTTTATTTAAGGAGATGTGGCTGAAATATTTAGGCTTTCTTGATTATTTATAGAATACTTGCATTGCAAATGTAGCTTAAATCTTAAGGACCCTAGGATTGTTGGAATAGTAAATGAACATCACACTTAGGAATATAGCTAGCCAAGTAGGGGAAAGATCTCTACAAGAAAAATTTTAAAAGCTACTCAAAGAAATCAGAGATAACACAAATGAAAAACAAGTACAGGGGGCAGCAAAATGTAGTGAATGCCAACCAAGAGATCTCATGGAGAAGTAAGAAAATGGAGAAAAGTACCACATGGCAGATGGGAGGCAGTGTTGGCATGCCTCTCCCACTTGGAAGGACAGATTAGTGTGTAGAGATTTACACTGTGAATTTTTTTGCAAGAACTGATGCAGGAACTTAACAGAAAAATCAACAACAAAAAAATTCACATACACTTTGAAGAAGAAGCAGGGACCAGCCTACTCCATGACACAAGCAAAAAACATCACATCCCCACATTTTGAGGGGAGACAGCCCAGTCCAAAGCACACATCCCCACTGGGAATCTGGAAATTCTGGCCACAAGGGAAGGCTATAATCCTATGCAGAGCGGGAATGGATTTAGGGAGCCAGCAAAATACACAAACAGAAGCAGCAGCAGGAAGTGCCTTGCAGGCATTCCCAGTCTTCAGTGTGAACCCAGGGAAGCCATTCCTGACTACATGTCACAGGGGCCCTTGGTGAAGTTAGCTAATGAGCTCAGAGAGGGGTCACAGGGTAAAAGAAGCTCCCAACTGAATTTTGTGATATAATCTCAAGTGGGGACATGTGCCCTTGAGCAGAACGCACAGGGGAGAGCTGGAAGTGCATTGCAGACATGAGCGCAGAAGGTGGGTGTCCAGCCTTGGGGGCAGACCAGGAGGGACGTGGCCTGAGCCATGGTTATTATCTCTATGGGAAAGCTGATGATCTGGGGCTGGTCTGAGTTTTGTGCACAGACTGCCTGGATGTAAACCTGGCACTGTTAGTCAAGCATTGCAAGAATGAAATGAATGAAAACTGCTTTGCCAACTCCATGGGTGCTGATTGAGGCTCACTGCCACCCACTACTTCCCACTCGCTTTGTGAATTCTTCTGTGCAGCAGAGGCAGTGAAACTCTCCTCTGGAACATTACCCCAGCAGCCTGAGAACCACCTCCTGGCCCTCGCAGGGGCTGCAGCCTGCTTCATTCAAGGAGACTCAGAGTGCAGGACCACCTAACCCTGGACCCACTGGTGGTACCCCTCCACCCACCCTGGTAGCTTAACACAAAGATACACTTTTAGGAGCTTCATAGCCTCCCCACCCCCATCTCTCATTGCCTGAGAAACCACTTTCCCTGGGCAACTTAGGGCAAGCTCAAATCCCACTGCTACCACCACAGCTGGTGCTCTTTTGCAAGTGCCATCTCCTAGCTGGAGACCAACCAACACAGTCCACACAGCACCTCTAGGAAGAATAAAGGGAACTGTTCCCAGAAAGGAGAAAACACCTGCATGACCTCAGCTATTACCACTGTGTACCACACCCAGGCCAACCAGAGGTCTTGAGTGGGTCTACATGACAACTTCACTGCTCACGTAACTGGCAATCAAGCACACTAAGCTTATCTGCATCCAAGGAATCTCTGAGTCTGTGTTGTTCCCTTGCCACCTCAATCAGAGCTGGTGTTGGTATCCACTGCTGGGAGACTTGAGGACAGGTCATCTCACTGGATCCTTTGCCAACAAATCCAGCACCAGCCTGGAGTCTGGGAGCCCCACTGGGTGTCTAGGCCCGGAAGAGCAGTAGCAATCACCATAGTCCAGCTCTCTGGAAGTCCCATTTCGATGGGAGGGAAGAGAGTACTGCCTAAGGGAACACCAGTGGGACAGAAAAACCTGAACGGCAGCCCCTTGAGTCCCAAGTCTTTCCGTTGTTGGGAAATTTCTTACAGCAGACAAACAATTGCAGAGCTGGGTGCAATAGGAAAAGCCTGCACCTTTACCCCAACAGGAAGGCAGCTTCTGTGACTGACAAAGGTCCTGGAGAAGCGGTCCTTGTTCCCCGCTGATGTACCACTGAAGACACAACTGGGGCTACTCCCACAGGAACACAGAGTGGATGCACCTATAGACAGCCTTCCTGGAACAATTCATGATGATTGCACCCCCACAGGAGAAGCACTGTCCAGATGCAGGCTTACACAAGAGGCAGTCATAATTCTTCCCGACTTGGAACACCAACATTTCTATAGATGAGAAGAAGTGCCTATCTGATCTGAACAGCCGGAACCCTGGGACAGGAGTGAAGCTAGGACGGGGAAAGCTTTCCTGCTGACCTGGCAGGGGAGCTGAGTAAGCTCCCATTCTTTACCATGATGAAACCTCAGCACATCTAACTGAGAGGTCCCCTAACCACCTTCATCAAGGCCAGGACCTCTGCCCATGATTGGGCTTTACATCTACTCACCTGCTTTAGCTACAAACAGTGCCTACCCCAGAATACCTTCTCTACTGGCCTGAAGCCTGATTCATCAACTCAGGAAGTAAAATACTGAGGGAAAATTTAAAAAGTAAAAAGTGTGCATCACAGGAGAATGAGAGAAGCTTCAAAAGACGCTTGCCAGTTCAACCCCAAGGAGACAGTGAAAAAAGAAAGCTTCTGAAATACTTTTAAACAGGGAAAATACTTTGTGTTATTTATGTTTCTGCATTTAAAATATATACATTTGAATATGCTCCCAAATGTATTACATAAGTCAATAATTGTAAATGTCACTGCAATTTGATTTTTTTCCTAAAAGAGTTGACTTTAACTTCGGATCTGAAACCCACTTTAATCTCTTACTGTCTGCAGTTTATTTTTTATCTATAAATCGACATCCTTAAAGTCTACATCTTTACTCCTAGTATTTAGTTCTGTCATGCAGGCAGAATGACTAATGGCTGTGTAGAAAAGAATTAACATAATAGACTGCTCTCCATAGATGTGCCTATTTCCAAAACGGACCTGGCTGGTATCTGAGAAGGTGGTTTTCTCACTATTTCCTAATTGAAAAAGATGGTGGCTGTAAGTAACTGCTTGTGCAAACTGTGGGGCTTGTGTGCACCTGCTTTCCTTCGGGAGACTGGACTTTTTGTCTGTGTTAGGTAGAATGGGTCAATGTAACCAGCAACCAGTGAAAATCTTAGGAACGGATATGTGGGGAGCAACACTTGTAGACAACACTTTCCATATATCATCAAAATATGATGCTGGAGGAAGTCAGTGTTTTCCATGGAAGATCATGAGACAGGAATCACAGGAGCTTGCACTGTATTCCTTCATAATTCCTTCCATGTGCCTTTTTTCTTGTGTTCATTTCACTACATTAAAACTCATTAAGATTATATCTATAAGTGTAGGTTGAGTCCTGTTGATTTTTACAGCAAATTTCTAAAACTGGATGTGCTCTTGGGAACCTTCAGGCCAGTGGTCAACCAGTGATTTTCTCGGAATGAAGAAGTTCCTGGGATGCCCAATCTTCATTACCAACCAGGAAAGACCCAGGCAGACTGGGATGGGCTTGTGATCTTGCATGGAGAACTGATCCAAGACATGAGGAACAGCTCATTTATGTCAAGGTCACTGCTTGTAACTGAACTACCTCCCAAGCACATCAATCAGCAAATACTAACTACTTTTAGTTGCTCCTCCAGGTTCCTTGGAATAGAGCTACAGAGGTCACCAAATTGGCAGTAGAAGCTGGATTCTACCCATTTCTACAATAATGAGGAGCAGGTTGGAATGG